GCCATGGTTTCAAGCTGGAAGGATGTTTGTGATCCAGACAAGATCTCTCTAATGATCCTTTTCAGTTCTTCAGAAACATCTGACTGGCTTCTGTCTTTTAGACTAATTTTGTAATTTCCCTTTTTCATCTGAACTGCACCACAATCATTATCAGTAATGAGACAAATCAGAGGCTTTGGAGACTCAAGAAGATCTGAGATAACTTCAGTACTTTTGTCACCTTTTTTCAGAGTTGGTAACAGAACAACATTGACTGAAGATTTTTCAGTCAGTATCTTACGCTGTTTTTCAATCGACAGAGCATCACCATGAAGATTACAGAAGGCAGTGCAGTCAGTGAAGGCATCGTTGGGTTTTCCAGCAGGACAGTACCAGGCAATCTCTGCCACACCATCCATCAAAAGGCGAGATCTGGTGCTACCTGGGCAGTTTCTGTGGAAGAAGGTGTTGTGACGCTCGTTGATCAAAGTGTTCATCAGCTGAGATTTAGACACTGACAGTGAACCCAGGCGGAAAAATGACACCATGGGTGTCTCAGCTTTGCAGATGGGCAAACTCTTCATGGTGACAATGTTTGAATCATCCTTGACTTGAGTTGTCTTCCAGGTTTTTCTTATTTGTCTGAATGTCCACAGAGGACACTCAACATCCAGTGTGACTGGGTCAGGAACAAGCAAAGGTAAGGCGTACTGACACTGTGACAGCTTTGTCATCATGTTCTGCTTAAGGAAGCTGTCTGAGCAGTGAAATACTGCAATTTGAACGTCCATCGGATGAACATGAGTCTGATCTGATTGATCAACGTCAACGTTGGTGCTAAAAAGAGCATCAAAGTTACTGTCTACTTTGTAAACAGTTTCAGACTCTGGAACAGGATTTGAATGGCTCACCTCAGCTCTGTCTTGTCTTACAGGAATATATCTGGCTCTGTAGTCTAACATCATCAACCTCTGAAGAAAAGTTTGAGCTAGATCTTCCTCAGATGTTTCATGGTCCTGTTTCACTGGTGGAACTATTTTAAGAAAATCTGCTGGAGACAACTTCTGTTTGTCTTGAAGGTGAAGTCTGTGAAGCAACGTTTCAAGATCTCTTTGATACTCCATGTTTCTATTCTTCTCTCCAGAAATCTTCACTGATTGCTGTAAATAATAAATAACCATTTACTGTATGTAAATTAAATGGTAACATCATATAGTTATAAAGTAAAGATGTCCTCAAGTTCTTGTGAAATTTGTATTTTCTGACCTCATCCTTGTTTCCACTCATATCCACATCTGAGGTGCCTGCAAGACAACAATGAGCCAGAGTTGAATCAATACATTCTTCTCATGTTCACTGTAAATGATTTTGAATGTTAGTTAGTTAGCAATTAGTTCTAATTTTTTTTTGTGTTACTGCAAAATAAAATAATTCATTAAATTATTTTTCTCACAAGTTGCAGATGGAACAGACTTGATTTCAGACTCTCTTCCTCTCACTGTGTTGTCATTCTTCTTCTTTGAGTGTTTTCCATCATTAACTGGGTCACACTGAGAAAACAGGCGATTTAATTTAATCTTAAAATAAACAGGTTACAACCATTGAGATTAAGAACACAGTGGTACACTATCTAGAGTAATACAAAACCAAAAATAAAAGTAAACTAAAGTAAAGAAAGTAAACTGTTCAGTAAAAGTATCTTCAGCGTCACTGTCCTATCTTTCCAAGTCTAAAGTAAAGTTAGTTGAGGTTACAGGTGTTTGTGCTCGATTTTAACCTGACCTCATAAAAATAAGCATTGAAAAAAAAAAAACATTGCTGTATGACAGTGACTACAGAGGATCAGAAGATCTCACCTTTACCTGTGTCGTAGCTGCTCTCTCCTCCAGGTGATCTACTGTAGCTGCTCTCTCCTCCATCTGATCTACTGTAGCTGCTCTCTCCTCCAGGTGATCTACTGTAGCTGCTCTCTCCTCCAGCTGATCTACTGTAGCTGCTCTCTCCTCCAGCTGATCTACTGTAGCTGCTCTCTCCTCCATCTGATCTACT